CAGTTTCTCAGAGCTATCTGAAACCTGTCTCTCAGACTGCAGTCCTCATATTGCCCAAAATAAAACTTAACTTGAAACTTTCACATTGTTCATTTTTTTCTTCAACAAGAAGCATTCATAATGATTGCAACGGTATTGACCAAGTTCCTAAACCTCTCTATGCATTCTCACATGTAAGGGGGGCATGAGCATTTGTTAGAAATTGTTTGACTAAAAGTTAACAGCATGTGACACATTACAATAAGTGCTTAATAAATGATAATTATCATTTTAGGCTTCAGGTCAGTTCAGTCGCTCAGTCATGCCTGACTATTTGCGACCCCATGAACCGCAGTACACCAGGCCTCCCTGTCCATATTTTCCAATAAATGATAGTAGACCATAAAGAAGAACCAGAGATGCAGGGCTGTGCTTACCACTCTGCAAGTTGTTCTCTGCACAAACCTGGGGTGGGAGTCATTAATTTGTATTTTCTGGCACCTAGTGGTATAGCTGTTGAAGAAAATTTACCTTTTTCTACTCAAGTTCTCCCTTTGGAGGGTTGAATGTGAGTGTATAATATGATTCAGTTCTGTTCTGATAAACTGGAATCCTCTTTTACATCTAGACTACTAAATTTCAAAAGGTAGAAAGGGAAAATTATCTAATTTAAAGCTACTTAAATTAGTATTTTAAAAAACCATATGCAAAATTGTGTTAGCAAGAAAGAGACTGGGATAGATGATAACAAAAGGACAATTATGAGACTGTTCCTAAAACAGGAGCCTTCTCTTAACACTACTGGTTGGAGTATAAATTACAATATTTTGGAAGCAAACTGGCACTATTTTACACTTAATCCCTTTGATACAGTAATTTTACACCTAGAAATTTATCCTACAGAAACATAAGTACATGAAGATAAATGTGCAAAAAAACATTCACTGCAGCTTTGTAATAAAACAGCAAAACAAACCAGCAAAAACAGAAACTATATGTACGCCAAAGAAAAATACTAAATAATAGACAAAAATGGTGATGCTGGTATAAGCACTGGTTTACTATGTTGATAGTCAAAGGAAGACTGAGAAATATGCAGCCATTTGCAAGTCTGGGACTAGTTCATAAATTTATCTCATTGATGTTTCTTTCAAGATGCTTTTCTATGCTTTTTGCAGTATGTTGTGTGCTGCTTCATATCTGGTGTTTTGGTCTCACAAACTTAAAACAGATTTTTTTCATTTTTTTATATACTAAATAGGCACAGAACACTTGCAGACTGAGCAACTAAATTCATTCCTTCAAACGCAAATTCTTCTGGACAGGGAACAATTGTGATACTTTATTTCTTGTACCTATTCAAACCTTGCCTTATTTGTGTGGGAAGAGCACTGACCTGATTAAATGCCCAGCCCCAGGGCAGGGCCTCCTCTACTTACACTGAAACAATATAGCCACTATCTGATGCTGGTATCCTGGTGGTCCTCATTTTAAAATTTTTACTGTTGGCAATGCTGCACAGGATGTAGGATCTTAGTTCCCCAACCAGGGCTTGAACCAGCGTTCTCTCCAGTGGAAGTGGGGAGTCTCAACCACTGGACTACCAGCAAAACCCCTGGTCCTCATTTTAACAAAGTATACAGGCTGACTTCTTGGCTATCAATTTAGGTTCTAGTTTTAGGAGTACCACAGCGACAGCAACATAACAGATGGCAGTCCACCCAGAAGTCAAGTTGTACCCATCATCAGTTGTGAACTTGTGAAAATGCATTATTCTCGGGCACTACGTCCTAGATCTACCCAAGTAATTTACCTTTTAGTGTTCTCCAGGTGATTATAAAGTGTTAAGCCATTCAGTCGTGTTTGACCCTTTGTGACCCCACAGACTCTCACCTGCCAGGCTCCTCTGTAGATGGGATTCTCCGGGCAAGAATATTGGAGTGGGTTGCCATTTCCTTCTCCAGGGGATCTTCCCAACCCAGGGATCGAACCCAGGTCTCCTGCACTGCAGGCAGACGCTTTACCGCCTGAGCCATCAGGGAAGCCCCAGGTGATTACAATTCCCAGAAATTAGTAATAATATTCACTGCTCTAACTAGTTGATCCTTGATCAACAGCAAGGGTTAGGAGCACTGACCCCCATGGGTGAAAACCTGCATGTAACGTCACCGTTGGCCCGCCATAACCTGCGTTTCCACATCTGCGTACTGTAGTATTTACTACTGAAAAAAGTGCCTATGTAATTGGAGCTGTGCACTTCAAACCCATGTTGTTCAAGGGACAACTGTACTTCTAGTTTCTCCTTGAAACCAAACTCAGTATAAAATGCTCCAGAAGAATTACTATTTGACACTTGCTGCCAAAAACATTTTTGAACAAAAAACTATTGAGAATAATCTACAAAGCTATACTTGACTTTTGGTAACAGAGCTTACAGTTAATGGCCACAGGACAAAATAGATACAAAACTGTTCAGTGTCCCCAAACCTGGATCTATCACTTAAAACATTCATAAATATCAGAAGTAGCATTAATTTTACTTTCATCTGAGTAACACATAAGCCTAGTTAATTCCTCCACAAGCCATTCATTCATCACTAAACAAATACTAAGTCCCTATTACTACTGGCATTAGTGACAGAACACAGAGAAAGGTCTTCAACTGGAAAGGGGAATGTTCAAGGAGGAAGGAAATTAATGGCTTTTAAAAACCCCTTTACATTCTCTCATTTAATTCTCAGAAAAATCCAGTTTCAAGTAAATATACAGGCTCTGAGTACTTTACTATCCTAAATGTTACCTCCATACATCAGGGAGCTTGCTGGAGATCTGGACATCATCCCATTTACTCAGATCTGCAATTTACCAAGAGCCTCAGGTGATTCCTAAGCACATTAAAGCTTGAGATATTTGGCCCTGATGCATAGGTTCTCAGCAGTAGAGCTGGCATAGGGGATGAACCAGAGCCACAGTCTAAAAGATGACCTTAAAAAGGCAACAAATGGATTGAACAGAATTCAGGAGCAGAGTGTTGAGGTTGGAGCCCTGGAGAGGGCAGAGCTCAACCAAGGTTGTTAAGTAAGCATACTGAGGACTCAGCAGGCACTGGAGACAACAGTCCTTTAAGGCAGAAGATAGAAATTTGCATTTATGAATGGAAAAGGGTAGAGTACAATGGAGAATCAGAATCTGTTAACTGATCAAAGATTGAACCTGAGCCCTAACCACTGCACTGCTGCAAGGAAATTCACTTGGTTAGTGTATCAAACAGATAGGACATAGCTGTGACTCATCTAGGTTTTCCCCAGGCCTGTTGGAGACCACTCAAAACGACTAGGTTAACTAGTATTCTCAAGATCTATCATTTCAGACATAGCCTTTTAGGACTTACAAATAGCTCTTGTCAGTTGACAAACTCCTTTCACTAAAATTCATCAAAAACACGTCTGTTATGTCTGGAGTCCTGTGGTGTGACAGAAAATGGCAATATTCTCCACAAGGCAAAATTTTCTAGAGATGGCTACATGTTCTTCATGTAGCATTTACTTCAATTTAAAATATCTGTATGAGAGATTAATTTTTATCTCTGAAAATCTATACAATTTCATTTTCTAGAAACCATTGTTAGGATTAAAGTCGACCATTACCTCTGATTTGCAAATGAGGAACTAAAGAGCTACTGACTTGCTCAATGTTACAGGAAAAGCAGAGGTCAAAAGCTTACAATCAATATAGCTTCTTCACTGTTGAACCCTTTTATAAAACTGGGCTACTTAGCAGCACCATGCCTCTGGCATACACAAAGATGCAAAACAAAAGTCCATGAAACTTGTAGCTGCCATGACCATAAGGCTGACATTCACTTATTAAATATTGTCTTATGAAACAGAGGTTCTCTTTTTTGGTTGCGCTGGGTCTCTGGTGCTACGTGGGCCTTCTCCAGTCGCAGTACACTGTCTTCTCACTGCGGTCGCTTCTCTCCTTCTGGAGCAGGGGCTCTAGGCACAAGGCCTTCCGTGGGTGCAGCATGTGGGCTCGGCAGTAGCAGCATCTTTGGTGTTCTATGTCCTGGTTTATACTTCACTCCTACTGACATTTTATTTTTTCTCCTCTTGTTTTTCCTTTATACACCCCCGTTCTTCACTATAAAATTATTTTGTATTATGTTTTTAAAACATCACTTTAGATTACTTTAAAAACAAATCAATGGAGAAGGAAATGGCAACCCACTCCAGTATTCTTGCCTGGAAAAGTCCATGGACAGAGGAACCTGGTGGGCTGCAGTCCATGGGATTACATGACTGAGCATGTGGGCACGAGGGTGGAGGGAGATGGGTTGGTAGCAATAAAATGGTAGAACTAAAAAAAAAAAAAAAAAAAAAAATCAGGGTCTAGATTAATAATGATTTTCTTCCACATTCTAGAAATGCAAACTAAGTTAGGGACAGTTTTTTTCTTCCTAAAGAGACAGAAGGAAAGTTTTGTTCACCAAATTTTAAAGCTTTGAACACAAAAGACAGCTTTACTTAAATAACAAAAACAGAAAGGTAGGAGAAAAATAGAAGACAGTCCAAAAACACAAGAGAAACACATTAAGTGGGATTCTTAAACTGGTCCATCTAATTATTGCCTTCCAAAAGGCTAAGTTTCAAATTAATGGTTCACAACTCTCACTTTTCAGGTATAATTATCAAAATACTAATTATCAAATGCTACATAACATAAAGAGCCCCAAATTCTCAACCTAAAGTAGAGAAATCACAGAACTGCCTTAAAATACAAAGAAAATATTTTTATTTGTATAACAAATATCCTAAGAAATGATGACATAAAATCAACATAGTTGAAGTATGTCAAGACACAAATAGGTATGAAATGCTATTAATGACTAATCCTTCTTTCTCATCCAACTTCCCATCAATTATTTTACAGAGCATCTCGCGTATATTTCTGACTGAATCGTAAGCATGATGTATCCAGGTGATTCAATAATGAACTCTTCGAAAGAATGGTTCCTCCCATTAGTCCTCATTAACTTTCTTTTTTTTCTTTTTCTTCTTTTTCTCTGGACTCTGAAAATAATCAACAAGAATGCTTTTGAAAGAGCTGGAAATGTACAAGTGACTAAAAATAACTTTTCTTTATAAAAAGCAGTCTATTTTATTTCCCTTGAAAACAAGATTGGAAGAAAGACTAAAATCTAAAAATCACCTCCGTGATTTGTAGCAAATGATATTCTCTTCCACTTCAGACCAAACCCATTTTGTAATAAGATTCTAGGTTTGGGAAACAGCTTTTTATAATATGGGAGTTCCAAACACAACAGTGAGTTTTCTAATTGTTTCTCTTTAATGAAACCATTTTTAAAAAGTTTTTAAAAAACTACTTGTTCATTTCTAACATACAGAGTAGAATAAAATAAGGAAACTCTGCCTGTGTCAATAAAATATTAATAATTAAAAAGAAGCATACAGCAACTGCTGTGCTGGTGCATGGCTCTTCTTCAGAAAGTGGTTCCTCCTTAACGTGTTTCTTTTTGTCCTTTTTCTTCTTCTTCTTCACAGATGTTTCCTGTTCTTCTACAACTTGTACTACCTCTTCTTCTGTGTCTTCTACATCTTCTACCACTTCTTCTTCAACTGAAGTGTAAAAATACTACAATTAACATTGTATCAGGCTTCTCTGCCTTCAAACCCCTTTGAGAATGTTTTTCCCCAACATTCTGATCAACTCTCAAATGTTTATTATATATAATTTTATAGCTGTAAAGGGCCTTCAAATATTTACCTAGTATAATAGTACTAACAATAAAAGATAGTAACCAATTTAACACCTCTGTAAACCAAACCTCATTCTTTTAAAATTTAGTAATGTCTATCTCATTTGACTGTTTCTAGGGTTTGCTGATTTAACACATGAAAATTTATGCAAAATGCTTAGCACATTAAAATAAGGACTCAATAATGGGTAGCTATCATTAGAAATTCATTGACCAAACACTTTACAGACAAAAATTTCTGCCCTTACAAACCTTTTATTTTACTAGGAAATGGACCAAAAAAGGAGAAAAAAGGTACACCATAAAATATTTTATGTAGTAAACAGTCCAAAGGATAAAAGCAAAGAAAGAAAGGAACACAAATGAAGGCAATTCCTGTGGACATTTTATACAGGGTAGTTAGGCAAATACCTTAAAAAGAAAAGGAAGTGAATGATGCACCTGTATCGAGGGAAAATATCCCACATTAGGAGAGGAGGGAAGTTGGCAGGCTCATGGAATAGCAAGGCAGCTAGTGTGGCTGGAGCAGAGTGACCAAAGGAATAGAATTAGATGAGAAGGCAATGGGAGTGCCATTGCAGCTGCTATACTAAGAATGGCAGTGATGGGTATGATAAATGGTTAGGTGCTAGAAATACTTCCCAAGTAGAATTAAGAGGATGTGCTACCAGAATAGACTTGGGTTTTAAGACAAGTCAATGTTAAAGGTCAAAGCAACTAGGATCCCCATTTATAAGAGAGAGAATATCATGTTGAAATGGATTGGGAGTGGCAAAGATCCAGGAAGGTTAAGTTTGAAAAGCTTAATGAATATTACAAGTCAAGATTCAAATCTACTAATGGGTTCACAGTTCTTTTTGTTCAATAAGGAAAATGAAACACAGGAGTTAAATAACTTATGTTTTCTTCACCCAGGGCAGAAGTCCACATTTGCTGATAGTGTTTTTGACCCCTAAGCTATTTAGACACTAAAAGTTAAATCGGTAATTGCTTTAATGCTAAGCACTCAACACAAGTGCAGCTAATAAATGGGAAAATTTACTTATCAACTTAAGAGAGCCTAGTTCACTGGGGAGCACCTATTAACTACTCTGACGGCAGACTACCCAGTTATTACTCTAGTTCTTTTCATGTAACAGAAAAAATGAAGTACTGCTGCATCAATTTTATGCTCAACAAAAATATTTCAGCTACTAACTTAGAAACCACATGCCTTGTTTTCTTCTCTTTTAAGAAATTAAAGTTTTGATACACTTAATATAAAACTATATATTCAAAGAGATGCTTTTCTCATTTCTCTTATGAAATATGATAAATTTAACAATATTCTAACTCCCTAAAGAAGATGGTTATTAAAACAGAATTAGCTTCCAATATGGTGGCTTCATAATAAAGTTCTATGGTATGCACTTTCCCCATTTTTCTTAATATATTTTTAATGGAAGGATAACTGCTTTACAATGCTGGTTTGATTCCCTCCGCACGTCAGCATGGATCAGCCGTAGTGTGCACATGCCCCCTGCCTCCCGCCCCTCCAGGCTGTTCGAGCCCCAGTTTGAGTTCCCTGAGTCATACCCAATTCTGTACTTCTTATGCAACAGGAGTATAAATGACATTAACAAAATTCAAACTAACCTTTAATTTTAACCTTGGCCCTTTTGGCCTTCTTTTCAATAACTTCATCCTCTTTGTCTACTTGTTCAATCTTGCGTTTTTTAGAACAGGTTGGTAGTGTGGAGTCACCAGAAGGATCGTAAGTCTTCACTTCACTGAAAGAGCCACAGAATCTTAGAATATCTTTATAAATGCTTTTAATAAAATTAATTATAAAGAAATTTAAAGGAAATGGTCATTAGGTAATACATGAGCATACCACACTTTCATTTTAGTAACTTTAGGGAAGTTTATGAAAGTTAAGTCTCCAAAAGGTAAAGAGATGTCTACCCATTTTCTAGGGAGGTCAATCACACTTCAAGAGAAGTGAACTAAATGAATTCTGATTTAGTAATCAATGTAGTAACCATAGCACAGAAGAAATCTTCAATTAAAAAAGGGGGAAAATGGAAGAAATCTCTTTAAACCAAATGATTATACTAGAAAGTAAAAACTGAACCAATTCAAGTCTTAGGACACTGGGCAATTCAATGAAAACAAAAAAAAGCCCTGAATCAAATTTAATACAGAATACTCCATCACAAGATTATAAGAGGCAGAAGAATAAGAAGGGATACATATGGATAAAGATTCCCTAAAACCAAGATACCTGCTTTTGTTCTAACAAGGTAGAAATAAATAATTAAAATACTGAGTGTCAAAAATGTGAACTAAATCTCATAACTGGCATTTTAAGTCATAAGCAAAATGGCAGGAGAACATTAAAAAATTGTTCAAAACAAGCTAAGGAATGTTCTATTAATCTGTCCTGTAGACTCATGGCTGTTTAACTTTTACAGGTTAAAAACATGAAACCAAGTAGTGACTAGGTTCTCCAGTGTCTACCGCAGGGAAACAAACATGTTACTAAATTTTGTCTCTGTATAAAAACAACAAAAAATGAGAAATAAACATTCTTAAGGCTCTTGACACGGTTTTCAAATTGTTACCCATGTTCTATTTGCATCACCACTACCTACACTTCATCAGTACTGAACATTTCAAATAAGAACAAAAACACCTCTCCCAACAAAAATCTTTTTTAATAATTTCATAGTGGGGTCTGAATACTTATGCTTCTTAGCTGCTTTCAGACTATTTTTTTGTCTTCTGATTCTTCTTAAGCAAAAATTATTCATATATGCTTCCTCCAAATACACTCAACTTACCTTTTATGTTCATATTTTTCTGCTTTTGCTAATGCTTTTCCTGTCCCACTTATTTTCCTTATCTAAGAAAAGAAAAATTATTAATATTTTTAAGGCATGATCCCTTTACAATATATACACTAGTATGTCAATAATTTTATTTTTTTGGCTGCTCTGGGTCTTTGTTGCTGCATATAGGCTACTCTTCGGTTGCAGTGTGGGCTACTTATTGCAGTGGCTTCTTTTGTTGTGGAGCACTGGCTCTGTGGTGCATGGTGTCATTTATCTCACAGCATGTGGATCGTCCTGAACCAGAGATCAAATCCATGTCCCCTGCACTGGCAGGTGGATCTCAATTAACCACTAGACCACAGTCACATACTAGGGAAACTGTTAACAGTAAGCAGAAATAGTATGTATCAATATTAGACATATGAAAATGTATCATAAGAGTAAAACTGATCAGCAGGTGAAATGAAAATGTACATGAGCTGCAGTTTATTAATTTGTGACAGGTAACACTCTCCAACATGCAGAACATGACTCTTACCCCTCTATCTTCCAACGCTCTCAACCTGGCTTCTAGTTTCGCTCTGTTCTCGACTCCCATTGCAGAGCTGGAATCTTCACCAAAGGCGTCGTACCGGATAGCCAGGACAGTCTTGGCTGCCAGCATCCGAGAAATCTAACAAAGAACTTGAAGTGAGACGTGTTCAAACTATACTCCAAGTTGAGATGTAAAAAAATCACTCAAGAGTTTATTCATGAGAACACTACAGCTCAATCATTGACTTTACGAGTCACTCTAGGATTTTTTTAAAAGTCAGGAATTACAAATGTATTATAAACCATATTTAAGCCATTTACCTTCTATTAGAATCTCTGCCACCATATGATGGCTAACCAAAAAGATCTTGCCAGTAGTTCATGTCTAAAGCTAGCTCAAGCCATTTTCCCATCTTCTCGTTTTTACTGGGATATTAGACCTACATTATGAGGTCATCCACAGTAAGTATTGCCCCCTTTAAAGCTAAATAAATTTCATTTTACTGAATTCTTTATTTCTTTCATCACTCTGCTCTAAATTTTATAAAATTTCTGTTAAACTAGGTACGTATAAAAGCTTGAAAGTACTTTTCAGCGTCAAATTCCTCCTCTGTAAAATAGACACTAACAATTTACAAGACTATTAAAAGCATCCACCAAAGGCCTATCCAGTGTTTAGCACAGCGTATATGCTATCATTTTAAAATGGGTCATGAACATTGATGTTAATTGATTTCCCATTGCACAGAAAATTTCTGATGAGCCACACCCCACCCCCACCCACCAATGAATGGGAGTCTGGAAAAGTACTAAAATGGCAAACACTTTATCTTCTAACTTTTTCTTTCAGTGTACACTAGAGTTTAAAGAATTCACAATTCTCTATTTGATGAAAAAGAAACAACAAAGATTTATTGACCACTATAGAATAAGATCAAAATGATTTGGAGGAAAAAAACGCCTGCGCCAGGAAAATTGTAACTTACCTTTCCTTTGTGTTTGGGGCTCGTCTGGCCTACAAGTGAAGCATGATAAATGAGACCATACTTAGGCGTATCTCGTCTAGACTTCAGGGCTCTGAAGAGTGCCTTTTCTGCTCCAAGAATCTGAACTGTAGAAGCTGCATGTTTGGCCAAATTCAAAAGAGAACCTTCAAAAGAAAAGTAGTAACTTTGAGGAAAGTAATTTCAAATATTTGAAAGTTCTTTGTATTAAACAAAAGACCTACAGTCTAAGTATTACAGCCACAGAGTATATAAAAATCAGATATAATATAGGATTCTATAATTTGGAATTAGCCCAAATTCCTGATACTTCAGCATTTGTGCTTCATCCATTAGCACCACAAGCAGAGATCTGTGATGAATGTCTATGGCAAACTGAAGCTTATGTGTTTAATCATACCTATTTGCCTTTAGAGATGGTATTACTACCTCACATTTCAGTAGCATACTATGGGAGAGTTAAAAGTATGTGTATTCACAGACATCATCCAATATAGCCCTTATTTTTCTGAGACTTATTTTAGATATGAAATATTCTACCCCTTTAAATATTAAAATAGGTAAATGAAAAACTTATTATTAAGGCATCTCAGTAAAACGATGTGATAAATTCAGGCTGAGGAGATATAAACACAATTAATAATGAGGCATCAAAAGCTGCTGCTTTGTCAGATATGCTGCCCAGATTTTCTGTCAGAGAATATCAGTATTAACAGTATTATCAGTATTAACTCAACCACTAGATACATGTTTAAAATTCAAGAAACATATATTTCTATTAATCCCTGCATCTCTTCCTGCTACACATTTTGCTACATCTATGAAATTTCAGATGTAGACAACAAAACCAGCCCAGATGAGCAACCTAAAAGCTGAGGAGATGTGAATGGCCTATTTTTCTGATTAATGATACAGGTAAAAGAAGTACTCTAGTTTAAACAGTTTGATGTAAATAAAATAAATTCTCTATCAATAGTACATACAGGCACACTCTGGAGATATAGTGGATTTCATTCCAGATCACCACAATAAAGCAAGTGTTGCAATAAACTAAGTATTCGAATTTTTGTTTCCCGGTGCATGTTAAAGTTATATATTATGGGTAGGCTACTTAGTGTGAAATAGCATTGTCTGGAAAAACAATGTACATACCTCAATTTAAAAATGCTTTACTGTTAAAAACATGTTAAACATCATCTGAACCTTTAGCAAGTTGTAGTAGTAACATCAGAGATCACTGACCAGAGACCAACATCACAAATATAATGGAAAAATTAGAAATATTGTGGGAATCACCAAAATGTGGCACAGAGTCATGAAGTGAGCAAGTGGTGTTGGAAAAATGATGCCAATGGACTTGCTCTACACAGGGCTAACACAAACTATGAATTTAAAAAACACAGTATCTGTGAAGCACAGTAAAATGAGGTAAGCCTGATTTCATCCTCCTGTATTCATCCAATTACTCTAATTAACCAAAACAAACTTCTGATAATGGACCACAAGTGTCTCAGAAGAGGTAGTGACTAAAGATGCCTTCACTGTCCGAAAGGAAATCAGGCATACAAATAAAAATCATCATTGAACACTTGGTCCTTAGTCCTCGCACGTACACCATTCACTTTTATTATCCAGATTTATCTTTAAACTTCAGTTTAAAAGAAAACAAGATCCTACCTAGAAAACAACTCTCAATACCCTTGTTTACAAATTATATTAAAATCATCACCTGCATGAGCAATAAGTCGTGCTCCAACTAATTCCCCAACCATGACTGTAACATTGGGTGCAATGGCCATCATTCGATTTTGCAGATATTCATAAAGTTGGGTTCTATACTCAGAGATTTCAATCACCTAGTTTAAGAAACAAAATGAGTAAGTCACAAATAGTTTAAGAGTAAAAGCAGTATAAAATTCACATGTCTAAAACATCAGAGCCCCAAATTATCACAGAGCAGTTAGTTGTACAACCCCAGGAAAATTAACCATTCCTTACCTCAGTTTTCTATAAAACGGCTGTTGTGGAATTTTAATATTTAAAAATTAGACAATATATGTAAACCTAATACACTGCTTAAAAAATGTTAATCAACGTTTAAAAAAAAAAAGCTTGAAAGGCTAGACATTTGTGTCATCCTCTGTGATTGTCATACAGCTATCTTCAAATGAAGGGTAAAAATTACAGGCTTTAAACATTCAGATACTGCTAATAATAGAAATCAACTAGACAGTACTCCTTTAACCTCATTTTGGGATAAATTTCTCCCTGCAAGTATATAAGTCAAGACGGCATCAGATGAGGTAGTGACTGAACACCCTCATATTTATCAGGTGAACAAACATTTAAAAATCATCACTGCCATCAGAAATTACAGAGCTGACACCACCACCACAAGTTTCCCCATGTGCAGAGTGTACCTGAGTGCAAAGGTGCAGAATGTTGCAAATATCTTCTTCTGAAACTTCGGTTCCCATGGATATCTCTGCAGCTGCTTTCACTTCTGCTTCAACCTCCTCTGGCAGTAACTCAGAAAGTTGAGCTGAGGCATAATTCTTCCTATCGCCTATGGAATGTTTGCAGAGGATGAGGGAGAATCACTCTTCAGTAAATTATATAAAATCCACCAAACAGTCAAAAGAAAAAGTAAAGATAAGCCAATGAAAGGAATGCCTGAACAAAACAAAAAGCAAACAAGTTTGACCAAGTAACTTTACTCATGTAAGGGCTTGATTTTAGAGATTAAAGTAATTCATATTATTAACAGTCCTCAGGTTCCTTTACTAGTATTTTTATTATGTTAATAGTACACAATTTAACATTAATAGTATAGATAGCAATACTATTTTTAATATTAATTACTATTAGTGTATTTCAGGATACTTCCCAGTACCACAGTTGTCCTTATGAATGGCAACTTTAGTGAGACACATTCACTGTAAGAAGCCAGTTCAGGGGAGTGGGGAGCAGATAAGTTGGGATCAACATATACACACTATGATACATAAAACAGATTACTACTATGGTTGTGATAAAAAAATAAATAAAAAAATAAATAAATTAAAAAAAAAAAAAACCAGATTACTAATAAGATGCTGCTACATAGCACGGGAAACTACGCAATACTCTAGAATGACCTACATGGAAAAAGTCTAAAGAGTGGAGATACATATATGTATGTGTAACAGGTTCACTGTGCTGTACAGTAAAGAGTAACACAATGAGTGTGTGCGCTTAGTCACATCCTTTGTGACCTTGTGGACGGTAGCCCGCCAGGCTCCTCTGTCCATGGAATTTCCCAGGCAAGAATACTAGATTGGGTTGCCATTTCCTCCTCCAGGGTATCTTCCTTGCCCAGGGATTCAAACCATGTCTCCTGTGTTTTTTTGCACTGGCAGACAGATTTTTACCACTGAGTCACCTATACTCCAAAATTTTTTTAAAAAAAGAAGCCCAAGAAAAACCAAATTAGAGAACTATGTCCTCTACTGCACAGGCCACTGAAATCAAAGTTTGTTTCTGCAATCTAGCAGATGTTAATATGGAATACTCCTCAAAACACACAAGACCAAAAACTCTGGGAAGAGAATAAAAACACCAGTAACTCATGTTTTAGGATTTAAATAAACCACTATTTTCAATACCTTAAAGGCTAAAGTTACTCACCAACTTTCTGTAAACACTTGCAGTATGTCAAATTATCCGAAATAATTTTTCCTAACTCAGGGAAATGCCAGCCATACCATTCTCTACACCGCATAATATAGTTGTTTAGTTCTTTATCTAAGTCATCTAACAGGGCTGCAGTAGATTAAAAAAGAAAACAGGAATTTAAAAGGGTTTTAAAAAAACTTGTGACAAAATAGTCCATCATCCCAAACAGAAACTCTGTACCCATGAAATAATTACTCCTCATTCTCACCACCCCAGCCTCTGTTGATCTCTTCTATTCCCTCTATGAATTTGCCTATTCTAAGTACCTCATAAGGGGAATCACACAGTATTTGTCTTCTTGCAAGTAGTCTATTTCACCTAGCACAGAGTTTTCAAAATTCATCCATGCTGTAGCATACATTAGAACTTGTAAGGATAAATAATATCCCACTGTATGCATATACCACTTTGTTTATCCCTTCATCTGTTAATAGGTACCTGGATTGTTTCTACCTTTTAGCTGAATCATTGTGCTATGAACATAGCTGCATAAGTAACTGAGTAACTCCTTTCAGTTTTGCGGGCATACATACCTAGAAATACAACTGCTATTTAAAGAAATGTTTAAAATTGGAAATTGTTGAGACTTTGATGTCCAAAAATCACCAAATGACATGGAAGAATGACTTATTACATATATAAAGCAAAAAAACCCCCACACCCATATCTTAAAGTTTTATCATTTTTCATGGAAAAAGACTAGTCAATCAGCTTACATTAATAGTGTAGCATAATTCCTATTATCCCCAAGTAGTCAAATTATAATTAGTTTTCCAATATTCTATTCTGCATTTCCCAATTTACTTACTAAACTTCTAGTTTGTCTTTTTCTTCCTCAACAATCATAAAAGATACAATTTTAATAGTAGGAAAAAAACCACAATGAAGAGACAGGTTAGACCTCACATGTCCTATACTCACAAATTGCCTGAACAATCATGGTGTCCACTTTATCAGCACTAAATTTCAATCTGTATCGGGACAAGCTGGGGAGAAGGGAGAAAAACATAAATTACTAAAATAGAATCTAGGAAAAGCATTTAAATAACATCTTAAAAAAAAACCTTTTACCCAAACCCCTCTCCTGGAGCTACATTATTTTTTCTACATGAAAAAAATCAGTTAAACAAGAATATAACATTCAAGATCCAAAGCACACATTCAGAAAAACAATACACCGGTCCCACTATAACCTCCATTTCTGTAACATGAACCCATTTTCGAGTGACAAATGATCATCGCGTGTAGCCCAGGCTACACTGGATCGTGCGACACGACCTCTGCAGCATCCTTGACGTTCCTGCCACCAGTGAGAAAAACCACAGCAGCTTCTCTTCATAAACACCCCAAGAGAAGAAAGCCATGAATGATAATATCGTACATATGGGTTTTCTCAATCCTGGCACTGTTAACACAGAGGCCTGCTTACTTGTAGTCGGGGCTATTCTGGGCCCCCTGTCTGATGTGCAACAACATCCCCAGCCTCAACCCAACTGCCATCTGTCTTCTGAGGGGTATCTGACTGCCTCAGATGAGAGCGACTGCTGTGCACAATACCAATTAATCTTAATTTGGATCCTAACTCAATTTAGCCATTTGTTCTCTCTTAGGAATGTTTATTAAAAAGTTTTTTCTGACTCTTGTGCATTTTGCTCATTTATAAAACTCACTTTAATCCTTTCATTAATCTCTGCTCAAGTTTTATTTATTCAAAGGTAAAGACCTTTGTTTATGCAGTTATTTCTTTTTTTTTTTTAAGTATTTTTATTTGGCTGCGCTAGGTCTTAGTTGTGGCATGCAGGATCTAGTTCTCTCACCTGGGATTGAACCACAGCCCCTGCATTGGGAGCACAGTCTTAGCCACAGGGCCACCAAGAAAGTCCCTCTAGTATTTAACATAAACTTGTCATTTTTCTCTCTTTTGGCAGCATATGGGAATTTACTTTCTTGACCAGGAATCAAACCTATGCCCTGTGCAGTGAAGCGTGGAGGGAAGTTCCACCATGTCTTTTTAACTGTTAACATTTCTTTAGGGTTACAAAGTTACATAGGGTTTGAGTCGTTTACCCACAATCCTTTTATTTCACAAACCCTCCTATTGTAGTGAAATTTCACTGAATGCCAAGTTTTTCAGGAATACATATATCAAAGCATAGCTGAAATGCCTGTTCTAATGGATTTGTTAAAAATGATAAGGTTAACATCTCTTTGCCTCAAGAAAAAACAATAAAAATCAGAATAAAACAACAAACAGACACAAAGCAGAAGAGAAAGATCATTAGCTGATGAGAAAGTTCAGGGAGATGCCAAGTAGATGGAGTAGCAAATGATTTAGAAGATGTAAAACAGGGGGGGATAAAAGCCTAAGAATTGCAGCATCCAATGCTGGAGAGGTAGAGTGCCATCACAAGGTTTAGAGACCAGACTATGAAGCCAAACTGCCTGGGTTGAAACAATGGCTTCATCACTTCCCAGCTATTATGACTTTGGACATCAATTTCCTCATCTGTTAAATGAGGATACTGTAACTACGTTCCTCTTTAAATTCTTGAGGATTTCATTAGTATTTGTAACATGCCTAGAACACTGCTATATAATTATTAAGTAAAAATAAGACGACTGTCTTCCAGTAAATCTCACCTGTGTGCCAACCCAAGACACATAGCTGTCATTTCACGTGGTTCTACCCCAGGGATTAATCCATCCATCTGTGAACGGATTCCTCTCATAAGTTCATTAACAACAGGACTGTGGATACAACTGAGATTCAGTTTTTCCTATATGAACAAGAACATTTGTATTAAATACAGAAACCTCCTAAATATTAAAACAGCACTGATTTAAACACACACATTTCTCAGTTTCATAAAAGCAGTTCTGGGTATGTGTGTGGGAAGAGCACTTGAACAAAACTGGCCTAAGCTTCTACGAAGGCAGCCCATGTACATGAATCAGAAGCCATAAACAGACCTAGGCCTCAGGTCCTTCCCTACTGTCAGGGTCCCCGAGGTGCTTTCCAAACATGCATTAGTGTGTAAATACAAATACACGTAACTCTTTACACACCTCACACAAACAGAATGAATCTGTCTTGCAAGCCTTCATTTTTTTCACTTTGTAGGGTATTTACTAACTCCATACAAATCTACACAGCTGTATTTCATCAAATGCAAATGACAGGCATGAAAAATTGTAAATGCTATATCACATTTAAAAGAAACAAATATTTAGTATTTACACAGGAGATATTCAGTTTAAGTTTCTCAAATGGAGAAACTGAAAAAGGAGAAAAAGATACTTATAATCCCACTAGTCAGCAATTTGCCCTCCTATATGCCTTTCTATGTGTATGTTTTTTAAGCTAAAGCTTAATGTTTTTAACAGAAAAATATGAAGATGAGATTGATAGTACAGAAACTTTATTACTGACAGTATTAGAAATAATCTATCTAAACAAATACTAAGTTCACAATTCTACCTTAAAAAAAAAAAACAACCCTCAAATCTCTTCACCTGTTTGCTACCTTCAAACAGTTACAAGGAATTAATCCTTACTTCAAGAATGAGGGGACTATAAATCAACTATACTTCAATAAGAAAAAAGAATCAGAGGTATGTTCATGTGCTTGCACTGTAAGACCTATTGTAACTACTGAAAATCAAACCATCACAACTGGCTCCTAAAATGACCTGCTTTTCACGTTTTGGGGCCTACCTATCCACTCTTTCTTTCCATTCTTATTTTGTATTTAATTTTTAGCAACTCTACCTCCAGTGAAGTGTTTTTAATAAACATATACACTAAAAAAGATATGATTCCATTTATATTGAAAAGAGAAAAAGTCCCTAAATAAAAATATGCCAGGATATATACAGAGTGTTTTATCTGAGGTATTACTTACATATCCTTAGTTTTGACAACCACATTGAAAACCAATTATTACATAGCATAGGGATAAAAGATCAAGAATTCAACCCTGAGAACTTATAATAAACAATTCATTACAAAGGCCAGGCTTTTTAGTCAGCTCTGATTAGAATGCTAAAGAAAACTGTAACTTTACCTTTATAACCCCTCCTAGTTTAGCATCGGCCACAGCCAAGGGTTCATGGGCTTCTTTAACTATTTTCTTCAGAACTTTCTTCAATTGCTTATTGATTTTGCCTTCCATTAGAGCTGTGAATGCTTGTTAGGAAGAAAAACAAAAGAGCTAACTCAAAATTTTATCTTCAAGAGTTTATGATCTTATTTATATTTTATAAATAAAGCCAAAAAGACAAAACACTTCAAACGCTGAATTTAACATTACTTCTGAAATGAAATGATAAACATTACAAACTTCAGAATCTCATCTGATCTTCCCACCCTCATTTATACTCGAGAACCAGGAGTTAAACCAGATCCAGAATTTCTTCCCTGTCACTCAATCCCTCTGAGCTCAGAATTATATGTTAGAAACAATCTGTTCTGTGATGGCAAATAGATTCACTCCCCTATGCCACTATGCATCAACTGATCTGATGTGCTGGATTGTGAAATACCATAAAAATCCTGTCACGACTGGTAAAAAGGAGTTTATTCATTTTGAAGGTTCTGCCACATTGTAAGCATGCCTGAGTGGAGGTCTTATCTTTGCCAATCCTTGACCCAGATGTGCCAATAGGCCTCTACTACTATTTGATGTCCAGTGATCGGGGAATTACTACTGAGGGCAGCCAATTTGATTTGGAGACTGTTTTCATTTTTGGCAAGCTCTAAATGTGCTACTTGTAACTCTCACCCTTTCTTAGACCCGTACTGAGATTCTCTGGACCCACATGGACTAATTAATACCCACACCTCTTCTGGTATCTGTCTGGGTTTTGGCCAAATTTAAAGTATGCCTGACAGAAAGTTTGTCACAATTTCTAAAAGGTCAGGCAGTTTGTGCTTAATCAGCCAGGTACTTGTTCTCTCCTCCTGACCAAATTTCCATTCATTTGAATTTCAAATCCATTTCATCTGGTATCTGGAAGATGAAAGGCGAGGACAAAAGTGATCCAGCTGTCACACATCTTACAGAGAGGTCTTTACAAATAAGCTAAGATTCAAACTACTTCTGTTGAGTTCTAACAATTCACATATTGTGAAACACTGACTCCTTTCTAATTTACATTTCTCTAATAACTGAAATCTTTCCTTATAAGTGTTTAATCTTTTATAATTAAAAATTTTTATTCAATGCCCTTCCTTTAGCTCTCAATCTTCCCTATCATTTCTTTCACACTTTAACATAACCTAGTGCTCTCCTTTAAGATTTCTTAAAAGTAAAAAATTTCTACTCTAAATCCTATTCTACCATTCACGAATGTTTATCTTCCCTTTATCAAAAACCCTGTTAGTCACTCTTCATAATGTGTATTTTAAAAAGATGGTATACAGAGATGGTGACAGGGATAAGGGGAAAGTGAATCTTTCCCCTTCTCTATTAGGCACTCTTCAGCATCCCTCAGCATCTTTCCCTTCATCCAAATTTAGGCTGGCCCCAAATTTTACTGTGGCTGTTTGTAAGACATGAAACTTCAAAGTGTGATCAAGACTAAAAATAAACCTTGCCATGCAAATGGCACATTTTAGCTTCTGAGACCAGTATAAAACTGACATCACACCCCAGACTCTTTCTTAGGCTACAAGTTTTATTTTTTTTATTTTTTTTTTCATTTATTTTTATTAGTTGGAGGCTAATTACTTTAAGGCTACAAGTTTTAAATGTATACTCTGACACCTACAAACACTCCGTTTCGGTTCTGTACTATCAAAACTGCCTTTTAACAAGGAGTGGAAAGTTAATTCCCAGGAAGGATTGTTCTAATAATAAAGTGATAAAGTTCAACTTTCTGCTAAAAATAGATGGGAAAAGGCATTGCAGGTTTCTAAGACCAGATTCCTGAAGGAGCTCACTACTTTCATTCATTTACCCAAAAATATTTATGTGCTAGAGATCTGACAATGAACAACACAGCCTCTATCCTTATGGAATTTAGACTGAGAGAGTCTGGGATGGACTTTAAATTCTCATCTAGCATGGCATTTTCTCCATTTATCTGACATTATTTTAAGGAATACCAAAAGCTCAGTATGAGTTCAGTTCAGTCACTCAGTTGTGTTCGACTCTTTGTGACCCCATGAACCTCAGCATGCCAGGCCTCCCTATCTATCACCAACATGCCGGAGTCTACACAAACCCACGTCCATTGATTCGGTGATGCCATCCAACCATCTCATCCTCTGTCATCCCCTTCTCCTCCTGCCCTCAATCTTTCCCAGCATCAGGGTCTTCTCAAATGAGTCAGTATGAGATAACCTCTCAATCCCTGGTTGGGGAACTAAGATCCCACAAATTGTGTGATGCTCCCTCTCACCAAGGGCACTTGAGATCAGAGCTACAGCCCTTTAAAACTCCAGGAGGAGTTATTCAAATCAATCTATACAAATAATGCTCCCCAGAGTGGGAGAAAAGCTAACACAATTTCACTTGGGACATTACCAAAATTCTACCCATACTTATTTTTAAAGCTGTGATAAACAGAACTATCTTTAAAAAAAATTTTCCAGGCCAAAATGATATTTATGCTCTATAAGGCTTCAATGAATTGATCTATGCAGCCCTAGAACTATTTTAAAAATTGGCCCTACTGTTGACTCCTCCTTCTGCTTACCCCTCTGCCAAGGTTGGGGTAGCCCACTGATATGCCAACATATTTAATTAGATTCCTAATTTTCACTATATAAGGGAACTACCCTTCTCTCGTCGGGTGAACAAAAATTATTTGGGTCAAATGAATTTTACGGCTTAACAGTTAGCCATATTCTTTCTTATGATCCTTCATTTTCAAAATATACCACCAAGTAGTCAGCTGACTTGAGATACAGAATTCAAGCAACTGAAAAATTCATGATTAGTTTTATGTTCCATCTTCTAGTTTTCCCTAGCATTAAAAGAACATTAGAAAACCAAGTGCTGGTCTTCCCTGGTGGTTCAGTGGTAAAGAATCCTCCTGCTAGATGTAGGAGACAAAGGTTCGATACCTGGTCTGGGAAGATCTCACATGCTGATGGCATCTAAGTCTTACACCACAACGACTGGAGCCCATGTGCCCTAGAGACTGTGCTCTGAAATAAGCACAGCAAAGAGTAGCCCCGGCTGGCTGCCGAGCAGCAGCACACGCCCAGCGCAGCCAGAGAGGAAAGGAACACCAGGTGTGGGCTGCCAGGCTGCTCAGGGGACTCTGCTCTGTACCCGCTGTCTCACCACCAGGACAAGCTGAAGGCTGTAACAGTCATCACCCGTTCTTCCAGATCATAGAAAACACCATGCCCTTTAAGGGAAACTCTTATGTCCGCTTCTCCAGTTTTTGTTTTAAAAAACAAAAACCTACAATGCCCCCCCACCTCTATTAGTTTTCTTAAATCTTTTAATATTATGTTTTTTTTAACTTTAAAAATGTATATACATAGAGAGCTGCCTTATTATTTCAACTCCAAATCCTAGCTATTCTCAACTTAATCACTGAATTTAAAAAATCAGAGACCCGTGTACTTGACATTACCTTGATCCCTTGTAGAACAGCTTTTACTGAATTGTGCTTCAGCATTACGCTGTTGGTTTCCACAGGGAGATCAACTTAACCACTTCTCACCTCTCATCACATGTGGGGGAAAAACCAGCCCTATAGTGAAAAAAGCTAACTCAATGTTGTCTCAGTGGTAGTGACGAATTTGAGTTAGATCACTTAAATTCAGTTTCAAAAAGAATGCATCATTGACAACATTGAAAAAGGTTAACTTAGGCAACTAAAGCAAACAATTTATTAAGAATAACAAATTACCAGTATTTAAAAAACAAAAAAGCTAGTCTTTTGATTTTACCTGCCAATGCCTCTGCTGTATCCTGAAATTTCTCAAAATGTTTCAGCTTTACTCTAGAATTAAGGGAAAAAAAATGTTATGAGGGCACACTGATTTTGCAAATGCCACATATTTAGGAGAAGAGGTAGTGGACTGCTTCCAAGGCATACACCAATAAAACAAACCTTCCTGCCATTGCATATTGCTGCAAAGGTAGACACTTCATAAAATGACCAATTTCTCTAAATGCTAGGCTAGTAACATTCAGAGGAACTATTACAGATATTACAGGCTTTGGAGGAAACTTAGAACACCAGCAGAAAAGTGTGCCACCGTATCTAAACAGGAAAGATGTTGAAGCTTCAACATAACCTCTGCTGCTTAAAGCTAGACACAGATGCCTTTTACTATATAGGATAGAAAAGGTGTTAAGAGTCCCTCTTAGTTTGAGAATCTCATGACACTGATTTGTCCATCTAGTACAAATGCAATGAAAAAATAACTGTTTGATCTAAATTTTGCTAACCTCACTTTCCCTTCTCCTCCCTATTCACTTATGTGCAAGGCAACGTTGTTTTATATCAAAACAGATACATTGTTAACCCATTGTTGTCTCAGTGGTAGTGACGAATATTTGAGTTAGATCATGCAAATTCAGGTCCAACAAGAATACATCATCGACAACAATGAATCAGGTTACTCAAACAACTAAATCATATAGCCCTTTAAAAGGGAAAACCAAAACCAGTCTTCCACCTAGTCTAAAGCAGTATTATCTTCAGCAATACTGTTCCCTTACCTAGTCGGGGAACATCCTAGTGGCACCTCAGATGCACACTTAACAATACAAAGATTTTAAGAAGAAAGCAGTTACTTCACCTTATTCCACCTCACCTCACCACCAATTTCACTCATCTGAAGTGGCATCTATTCATATCTCTATAATTTGCATAAACACACATATAGCTGTACAACAGCATGTACAAAATGCAATCATGTTACATGTATTACTCCGAAGCACAGTTTTCCAGCATACCATGTTTCTCTAATAGTTTAGTATGACATCTCTTTGGGTTCAATACTCTTTAGCAAGCTCAAGTAGGTTCCTTCGATTCTAGTGAGTTTTTATTAGCATTAGCAGATGAATTATCAAATATGCTGAGGCATTCAAGGACACAATCAAGAGATTAGTTAGGTCCTTCCTAAGGACCACGTTCACCAAATGGGCTATTTTACAAGGTGATTCACAGGTGATGAAACAGCTTTCTTGACTCTACCTGAGGAAAAGTTCTTTCTCTCTCCCACCACTCATTTCTTAATCTGGGTAGGAAGGTTATCAGACTCTGTTTTCTTGTCCAGAGACCTTGGGGAACACAGGTCTGTCTTTCTAGGATTTATTAGCTAGTTATTTAACCACTTCAGGGTGAATTAGGAAATATTAGTCATGAAGAGTGAATACACTAAGTTCAAAAGCATCCGATAATACAGATTATCACTAAGAGAATCTGTAAGTTAAGTCTATTAGCAGCCCATGCTTTTTTCCTTTTTGGCCACACCTTGTGGCTTGTGGGATCTTAGTTCCCGAACCAGGGACTGAACCTGGGCCCTTGGCAGTGAGTGCTGAGTCCTAACCACTGAACTACCAGGCAATTCCCACAACCCATACTTTTGACAATTATTACTTTTAACTTAATACTTAATTCACAATCAATTTACAGTTTAAAACATCTTACAAAATAGTGATTTTGGGGTGCTTCCAGTCTCGTCTGCAATTAATACAAATCAATTGAGACAGCCTAAGTTCCAGATAAAGAAGCTAATAATTAGGCTCATACCAATGTTACTCCTGAAACAGAGTTCAAAAACTTATGGATATATTATATGAATGAGGGGGATACACAAACTCGTAGAACAAGGCAAAAACAAAAACAAACACCTCTAAATGTTAACTGGTAAGTTCTTAGTTTCATGAAGACTTACATTTTGTTTGCTTTCTCTGGAGTTTCAAATTCTTTCCATAAACTATCAACTTCTTGAAGTTTCTTTTCATTTAAAACCTGCAAATAAATGGATGGAATTTAAATCGAGTTGGATATTTGTTAAAAACTTTCGATTTTAGAGAGTTCCCTGACCCCTTCACAAAGCCTATCATATTCACAAATCAAAAACATAAAAAATTTGCCTACTTTCTACAGAAAATTTATTTATTGCTATGATCTCCCTAATATGAAATTATTAAGGATTTCTCTAAAACTTAGATACCATTAGTTCTAAGACACATTCTGAAGTAAGAAATTTTAACATGGGAAGGAAAAAAGGAGCACTTTTACCTATGAAACATAGTCATTAACATTTAGGTATATATTCCTCAAGACTTTTTGACTGTCTATGCTATATTAACGTGTACTTTCGGGAATCAAGCTATACACTTCACATATCATGGACGTAATTCTAGGTTTTAACAAGAATTGCACTGTATGAATATAACATCATTTATACTCTTTATGTATTTGTATATGTATACATGTATTTCTATAGGACAAATTACTGAAAGTGGAGTTAAACGATCATATAAGAAATGCATGTTGACAGATGTATTATCAAAATGCCTTCAAGAGCCTCTAATAGTTTCACTTAAATCAAGAATGAATATAAGTTCTTATTTTCCTCACCAATACTAGGTGAGAAGTCAACTGTTTGAATATAAGCTAGGGTAGTAGTCCTAAAATGCAGTCCCCCCATATTTAACATCTTGAAACTGGGATGTCTTACAACTGACAGCAGATCAGTTTAATCAGCAGTGTAAAATAATGACAAATTATATTTGATGAAATACAGTATTATAGATGAATATATTTTGCACGTGTTGTTTTACGGAGTTAGTTGATCAATGAAAAATTATACTTTACTGCTAAACTATATTTCATCAAATCCCTAACATCACAGAACATTTACAGAGTAAGACTTATTTCCCAGTTGTAGCATAATACATATTTCACGATAAAACATCAAGAAATTTTCTGTCAGAGTGGCAAGATGATTTTAAGGATTTGCACTGTTTAAATTTAACCCCCAACAGAGCCGAATCAAATATATTTACAGAACTGGAAAAACAGGAATCAGAGTAATGAAGTAGTAAATGCAAAGCACACTTTCATGTTAAAAAATTACAAACTGACTGTTCTATTTCTGTCATGAAAACTTTAGAACCCAAAGACATTTCATCAAATCTCAAGAAAGCACTGAAACTTATAATTCAAAGTTATTTTTTTTTAATAGTTCACAGAATAGTTGTGGTTTTTGAAAACAGTTCACTCAGAATGTGACCAACCATACCCAAAGTCCAATGACTGCTGAGAGGATATGTACCACCAAATAGGGGATATGATTCATGAGTAAAACTCACATTTTTTCTAGTTGAAAAGCAAGTATATTTGAAAATACTATTTGGATAACAAAACTGACATATTTTAAGAGATATTATCAGTATTCACGAAGTTAAAGCACCAAAGGAAATGTAATGAAATCATGTTAATTCATGACCACTGAAAGGTCTTCAAACCAAACCTTAGCTACAGTTATGTTCCCATTTGTGGGCAACATATTGAAACAAACATGAAGTTTGAACAAAAATAAAATTAGCCTACGTATTGTTATACATCTGTCTCAAACTTTTAATCATTCATTTTCAGACAAGGAAATGTGAAACATTAGTATGCAAAATTCATTTAGAGTTTATCATTTTGAATTAAGATGGAATGAATAGCTTAGCTATTGTTACCATAAAATCTTCAGCACTGCTGTTATATTGTTTATTATTTTACTATAAAAAGCACTATATGTACTTATTTACATTTACTAAAGTGAGGTACATAGTTATGTAATTAGTCAATAAAGCTAGAAAAACAGATTGCTTAGTAATCATGTTGTATAGAAATTTTGGTATTACAATAAAAAAAACTTTGAGCTCTCAAAAAATAAAGGGACACACAACACTATGCTACACAGCAGCACTGTACAATGTGACTGATGAATTAAAATCAAAAATTAAAAGGAATTCATTTGAATCAGTTCTAATGAGATGGATGAAACTGGAGCCCATTATACAGAGTGAAGTAAGCCAGAAAGATAAAGAACATTTACAGCATACTAACACATATATGTGCAATTTAGAAAGATAGTAATGATAACCCTATATGCAAAACAGAAAAAGAGACACAGATGTACAGAACAGACTTTGGGACTCTGTGGGAGAAGGCGAGGGTGGGATGTTTTGAGAGAACAGCATCGAAACATGTATATTATCTAGGGTGAAACAGATCACCAGCCCAGGTTGGATGCATGAGACAAGTGCTCGGGCCTGGTGCACTGGGAAGACCCAGAGGGATCGGGTGGAGAGGGAGGTGGGAGGGGGGATCGGGACGGGGAATACATGTAAATCCGTGGCTGATTCATGTCAATGTATGACAAAAACCACTACAATACTGTAAAGTAATTAGCCTCCAACTAATAAAAAAAAAGGAAAAAAAAATCCACCGCCCCAGCTTTACCAGTCACACTTCAAGTGCTACATAGCTGTATCAAAGGAAATGGCAACCACTTCAGTATTCTTGCCTGGAGAATCCCATGGACAGAGGAGCCTGGCAGGCCACGGCCCACAGGGTCGCAGAGAGTCAGACACTACTGAAGCGGCTAAGCAGGCACGCACTCACATAGCTGTGTGCAGCTACTGGCTACCACACTGAGAAGCTCAGCTAGGGAAGATCTGGGATAGTAAGGCTTAAGAATGTTGAGTCTTATTCTGTGTGTCACGTGACATAAGGGACACAGGCTTGAGTTTTTGCAATTATCTACAAATATAATCGTTCTTTTAGGTATTGTCTCTACATTTACATACAACTTTATTATGCAACCGTCACTTATCCAGAATATTCCGGAAGTCTATTTTATTCAAAATCAGTAACTGCTACTAATACTGAATATTTATAAAAGAAGCATATTTCAATATATTCAAGCCTTTAGTTATTTCTAATATTGGGTTACACTATAGAAAAAAAAATTCAACAATTTTGAACAAAAACTTGCAGATAAACATTAAAAACTACAATAGAATACTCAAGACTTACTTTTATGGAGAGTACTCTTTATTAACAGAAATCAATAATTCATCATATGACTTTATGCTTTATGACCCAGATCTAGAAACCATACAATTGCTAAGCCAACTCCTCCTCACCATTAGAGGCAACTAGTAACAGTGCAAAGTTACCCTCCCCTCTTAGCATCCAGATCAGGACAGTACACATTAACATCAATTTAGATGATATTCATCCACAGACACGGACTCAAAATACAATAGACTCTGTTGGCTAAGAGAATTTGGGGGTATGTGCAGAACTCTAAGAATTTAGAAAAGACTGCAGGAAGCTGGGGAAAAGCTTAACAGAGCTGTTGACAGGCTCTAAAGCACTTTAGTCTCTTAAAATTGCTAATATTACAATCTCAGACAACAATAATGAGAGGAAAAATAAGCAAAATCAGCTTTGGGTTAATTATCTTATTGGTTTTCTTAAAAATAACAAGTATTTACCTTAACATGCAAACAGATACTGTCAAAAGAAACTTGGAAAAACGAAAAACTTCCCCAAATATGTTGGTACGTACCTTTCCAGACTCTCTGCACCCACACCACATAGTTTTAAAATTCATAACTAGAATCATACTACATATTTTATCTAGCACTTCTTTTGCCTTGTCAGTACATATGAAATTTTTTTTCTTTGCTATATTCCTAGAGCTCGAGTGCCAGGCACGTGGGTGGCACCTAATTTACCTCATTCTTCCTAACATCTCAACAGCATCGTACTATATGCACGTCCCACTGTTCAAGTATTTCCTTGCTGAAGAACTGAAAGTTAACCTTCCTTATTAAAACAGAGAACTCAAATTGGTTACCTCCAGCTCAGATTTCTTCTCTGGGCTTCAAACTTAAAAGGACCATTGTATTTCGAAGTTTGACAGCGAAAGCTTCACATAGCCCAAACTGGAACTCTTTATATTCTCCTTCCCTCTCCCAGCCCCCAAATCCCTAAAACTTCTCTTCCCTACCTCCACACACCCATCTTTTTAAACGCAAATCTCGCATACTTTAAAATCCGCCAGCCAATCCTTTCAATTCTACCTCCTATTCTGCGCAGAGAAAAGAAACTTCATTAACAAAGTTAAGTGAGGTCGTTTCTGTTAAAACCTTCCAAAATCATTCCACAAAACTCTCAGAACAAAATCTAAACTAGCTATCATAACCGGTAAAATTCTAACACGGCTCTTGCTCACCTAACTGGGCCAAAACCTTTTGCCGAACCCGACGCCCCCAAGAGCGCGGCCACGTGTTCACTGAAACATGCGCCTCCCAGGCCCAAAGTCTTACCCTTCCTCTCACAGCAGGGGGACAGAAAAGGCACCCAAGCGATCCTGAACACTGTCGTCCTCTCCTACAGCTTTCCCTCTCATCTCCTGCCCAAAAGCCGCCTTCCCCCTCCAAGAGCTCACTCTCCCACCGACCTTAAAGATGGCGTAGCCGACGGAGGTTTCGAACAGCACCAGCATGATGGGGACGGGTCGGGGCGCTGCGCGGCTCGGCGCGAGCTCTCCTACCAGTGAGAAAAGACCAAATCTGCGGTCCCCAAAGGCCCGTAAGGCCCTGGCCGGCCAAAGACCAGCCTTGCCGCAAAGAAGCAAACCACGCTGCCTAAACGTTCCCCACCACACTACAACCAGAACGCCCGAACGGGAGACTTCCTCGCTAAGGCTTCTGGGACATGACCTCACTTCCTCAAGGTGACGTACCACATAGAGCGCCCTAACTTCCGGTACGTTCCCGCCACAGAGAATCACAAAAATATCGCGAGATTCCTTCCGAACAAAACGAGGTTTTACACTGTTAGGCTCAGCGAACTCTGAAAGCGAAAAAGTTCGCTTTTGATTACTGATTTTTAAACTCCCATATATGATGTAATTTACCTTGAGAGAAATGCGGAACTGTCTCCTGTGTTTGCCTTAAGCAACTGGAATTTGGGAAATGCTAGCCACTAGACTTTACTCCCCGATCGCCCTGCCTTGATGTAAAGTCCTCAGAGTGCCATGACTCAGTTTATCTGGAAACGCTCGTAACCGTAATCTTCTCTCTGGTCAAACTGATTTTTATAACCTAGATGTCGTTCAAACATATGTAGGCTATTCCTATTTTTGCTGCAAGGACTCTAGTGTGCTTAGACTTTATGTCCTTCATTTAGTATAATTTGCTTTTCTCGGTCTTTTCAGTCTCAGTGACGACAGGTACCTCAGTTATTCCACCAGTCTGGCTTCCAATAGGAATAAAATTTCCTTCTGCACTTCCCAGGCCCTGTAGGCAGATTGCTTGTAAACGTTCAGTTGCAACCTGTTGACAGGTTTTCCAGTAGTCATGTTTGGATGTAAGAGTTGGACTATAAAGAAAGCTGAGCGCCGAAGAATTGATGTTTTTGAACTGTGGTGTTGGAGAAGACTCTTGAGAGTCCCTTGGACTGCAAGGAAATCCAACCAGTCCATCCTAAAGGAGATCACTTCTGAATATTCATTATGAGAACTGATGCTGAAGCTGAAACTCCAATACTTTGGCCAGTTGATGCGAAGAGCTGACTCATTTGAAAAAACCCTGATGCTGGGAAAGATTGAAGGTGGGTGGAGAAGGGAAGGACAGAGGATGAGAGGGTTGGATGGCATCACCAACTCAATGGGCATGAGTTTGAGTAAACTCCGGGAGTTGGTGATGGACAGGGAGGCCTGGCTGCTGCAGTCCATGGGGTTGCAAAGAGTTGGTCACAACTGAGGGACTAAGGTGAAAGTTATGTATGTTCTCAAGCAGTTCTGCAGCCTGGGATCAAAAGGAATGAAGATCCTGGACCGTGGAAAATCCTGGATCATGGAACAGAAAAGATGAAAGTGGGGAAAAGTGAGAAAATCTAGGGTACACACAAGAGCATAGCCACAGGATCCAGTGTGGTCAGAGAAACCAAAATGGCTAGATTGGGAGAGGGAGTGGGTAGGTGGGGGGATAACATGGAAACTCTTAACATTTGTTTATAGTACTATATAACTTAATATTTTTTGGTCTGGTGTCCTTAATGGAAGTGCCTTCTGCTAGACAGTGCAGTCTGTATCTTACACTTAATTGTTTCCGTACAGGGCATCATACTGTGCTACTCATGAAGTAAGATCTCATTAAGTAATTCTTAAATATCAAATGAATGAATGAAGGTAAAGCATGCATCTTTTCCTATCATCCAAAGCATGCATCTTTTACCCAAAGAGACATAAAATCACTTATTCAGTGAGAAACATCTTTACTGTGGCATCTCCTAGAAGTTGTCTTTGCACATTGCCATTTATATGTGATGCATTAGTCATGGGTTCAGAGCTGCTTCTGACTTTGGGTTTGGGTCTTGGTCAATACAGTAATTGTCTGAAGATTCTATTACAAGAAAAAAGCAAGAAATTCAATACTTCATTAAACCAAGTGCTAGGTGAAGAGGAGATAACCACAAAGTATTAGGAGGAGACTATTGGAGAGCATAAATATCTCAGAAAAGGGGCTTATAATTTTACTGATAGCACAGTGACCAAAATAAGAAACATGGTTCTTCTGTTCTCTCCCATCCCCAGTCCCATCTTTGTCCCAGCTAGAATAAGTTCTATGAAAATTCATTTCTGGACCCCCAGTACCAAGCTAGTATCTGGCATAGAATAAGAATTCCATAAATATGAATGGTTAATGGGTGAAAGAATGACTGAAATTAATGAATGATGTGATCCAATTATATCAAGGGGCTAATCAGGGCTTCTGGGTAATTTTTGAGAACTACTGATATTAGTAAAAGATATATTTTGCCCAGAGACCTCCTGTGTACCATGTAATAGGAAGAAGACATCCTGGATCTTACATGTAGTTCATGCAGTGAATATCTTTCATGTAGTCAATAAATATTTGAGTATCTACTCTCTGTCAGGCAGTCTTACAGGCATTAAGGTAGTGGTGAACACAATATGGAAAAACCTCGATACTTAATGAAACATGTTCAAGTAAGAAAGAAGTGAAAATTGGTCAGTCATGTCCGACTCTTTGGGACCCCGTGGACTATACAGTCCATGGAATTCTCCAGACCAGATTACTGGAGTGGGTAGCCTATCCCTTCTCCAGGGGATCTTCCCAACCCAGGAATCGAACCAGGGTCTCCTGAATTGCAGGCAGATTCTTTACCAGCTGATCTATCAGGGAAGCTCATTCTAGTAAGAAGAAACAGAAAATACATAAATATCCAGTGTAGTAGCTGATATAGATAGTATAGAGGAAAAGCAGGAGAGAAGTAGATGTTTTAGGATAGTCAGGAAAGGCTTCGTTAAGAAGATTACATTTGAATAAATGAAGACAAATAGAGGAAAAGAGGCAGACATAACAGCATATTCAAAGTCACCAAGGCAAGAGGGTGCCTGATTCATTCTCAGAACAGTAGGACCAGTATTGGAGTGACTCCAAATGACCTAATGAATTATAATTCTTATCAATGTAACAACTAGTATATATATTTGTTGGTTTTCAGTGCTTGTCATATGATATAGTCTTTATAAGAAACTTGGGCAGTAGATACTCTTATTGTAACCATCATTTTCCTTATCAGAAAAGTTAAGTAACCCAAGCCAAGTTTTTCCTTTATCGTAAATCAAATGCATCTGTTTCAATTGACCTGTCTAGGTCCATTCTAGGGTTTCGTGAACATTGAGACATAAACTTTGGAGACTACTCTATCCAGAGAACACAGAGGTGATCTGTGTTCTGGAGAGAAACCAGTCTAAGAAAGTCTCATCTCTGACCAGCTAAATTATGGTTTTGCCCATGCATCATGTTCTTTTGAGCTTGGACAAAATGAGCATTCCCTCTAACTAATCAGCTCTGAATACATGGCCAGAATTGAGTTTCTGAAAATAAAAGATGCTTGCTCCTTGGAAGAAAAGCTATGTATAACCTAGACAACATATTAAAAACCTGAGACATTACTTTGCCAACAAAGGTCAGTCTTGTCAGGGCTATGGTTTTTCCAGTAGTCATGTATGGATGTGAGAGTTGGACTATAAAGAAAGCTGAGTGCCAAAGAATTGATGCTTTTGAACTGTGGTGTTGGAGAAGACTCTTGAGAGTCCCTTGGACTGCAAGGAGATCCAACCAGTCCATCCTAAAGGAGATCAGTCCTGAGTGTTCATTGGAAGGACTGATGCTGAAGCTGAAACTCCAATACTTTGGCCAGTTGATGCAAAGAGCTGACTCATTTGAAAAGACCCTGATGCTGGGAAAGATTGAAGGTGCGTGGAGAAGGGGACAACAGAGGATTATGTGGTTGGATGGCATTACCGACTCAATGGACATGAGTTCGGGTAAACTCTGGGAGTTGGTGATGGACAGGGAGGCCTGGCATGCTACAGTCCATGGGGTCATAATGAATCGGACATGACTGAGCAACTGAACTGAACTGACTTGTAAAGTTGAGGTCCAAATCCTAAACTACATCTTGGTATGGGCCCAGGCAGACCATCAGCTGGCATTTACCATCTCTTATTTTAACTTAAACATTCCTTGCCTGCAGGGAGCTTACTATTTTTTCAAAAATAAGATCTATGCCTGTTAAACAATTATAAAATTCTAAAAGATAGGTGATTTTTAATATACCTACTACATACTAGATCATTTTTTTTTTGTTTTGGTCATTCAAAGACATGAAGTACATAATCCTTGCTGTCAAGGAAACTATGATTGGTGGAGAAAGACAATTAATACAATATAAAAATGATACAACAGAAGTAAGCAAGAGTCTAAAGCTTAGCCTCGCCTCTTACTACTTATAGGTCTTTGGGTCCTTGAGTAAATGATTTAACTTCTTTGATACTTTTTTTGTGTGTGTATAAAATAAGAGTAACACCTCACAGAGTTTTTGTGACTGTTAAGTAAGATAATATTTTTGTTTGACATAAATGCTTAGTAAATGGCCTTTGTTACCATGCAATTCAATTAAGATAAAATAATAATTCAGATAGACTAGTGCAGGGGGATGTCAAGAAGGAAACTAAAGAAATGTGAAACAAAATTGACACTGACTGCTTCTACTAAGGATAAGCGTATATACTGCATCCTCCTGATTGGAAACAAACATACACACATGGCACAGAGCAGGACCATATGGTACTTGCCCCCCCCACCATGTCCTCTGCCTGCCTTTTGCTTGTGGAAAACTTTAGTGAAAGAATGAGTTTAATCAGAGAAGTGAGAAATGCTAAAACAAAGGGAAACCAGCAAAAGGAGACTAAATAATAGTGCAGTCATCAAGCATAGTCACGGACCTTCAGTTCTTTCTCAAGGGCTGTAGATAATATTCTGAGCCATATCCTGTGAGCTGTCTTATGGATACTAAAACCCCAGGTGGAGAAGTTAATTACCTGATGACCAGACTGTACCCAGGACCTGAGCTACCACAATTCTGAGAATTGACTGCAAAGAAATGGGAACAAGTGCACCCAGGAAC